TTCACTTTAAATAACTCAGGGTTGTTGCCATAACTGATACAACAACATGCTGTTCACATCATTCTCTACCGTTTTGGTTAGCACCAGGCCTGACTACCTTTGCCAAATCCAGATTCCGGAGCAAACTCCTAGGTGATCCCCGATCAGCTGAGAGTCTTCTTCTGAACTCCTAGAGCTGGAACATTTGCTGCCTGCTGTGTTGGGGATCAGACATGCAGAGTGGATCAAGGGACCAAATAGGAGTGGGTTTCTTATCTACTCTCCCCCTACAAAAACAGTTTTGGGGAAAGACCGAGAAACAGCCAGTTTAGAGATTAGAAGTCTTTGCTCTCCAACTCGGCTATATCTCATGCTTCCTTAAATACAGCAGTTGGGCGAGCGGTTGGATTAGAAACCCACGCCTAGATTAGGTGAAAGTGGTCTTCTGATTTGCATGAGCCTGGACCAGAGTCCAATTCACACTGACATGGAATTTTAAAAGTGTTGCCCTAAGCACATTTGGTAACAGGGTGGCCAATTTGGCCTATTGACTCCATGGTTCCTTAGAGTTTATAACTTCTAGGTGTCCCCCACACACACTTTTTCAGGTTAAGGTTTTGCCACTTTACTGCATGACTGGTTCAGATAACAGTTTCCCACCTTTATAGAGTTGTAAACTGTAATGATGTTTCCTGTATTGTCCATTTCTGTTCTGTTGCTTCCATCTTTATTCTTCGCCATGAGTTAGCCCCTGGGGAGTATAAGATCAATTGTAATTTTCTGAGACACCAACACAGCTAATAAGATTATCAAAGGCTCCTTCTCTCTCTGCAAATGAAATGGAATAATGTTTGGCTGTTTGGTCATACGTGGCAGAAAGGGCTTAGAAACAACAGCAATGCTAACATTTATTTTCCCCACAATGATCGTAAATTTCTGGACCAACCTTAAAAAGATGTTCCTCTGTGGTGGATTTGTGATTTTAGCCTATATGCAAATCTGTATTCCATTGATGTAAAGACTGGTAGGATATAACAGAATCCCCAAACAATTTGCTTATCTCTGCCAGGGATTAGACACACATGTTTTTACGACTGGGGAACAAGGAGCTGATGACATATTTCACTGCATCTTTGTTGGCCTGGTATAGTCTATGGTTTGCTTTTTCTTTCTTTCTTTCTTTCTTTCTTTCTTTCTTTCTTTCTTTCTTTCTTTCTTTCTTTCTTTCTTTCTTTCTCTTTCTTTCTTTCTTTCTTTCTTTCTTTCTTTCTTTCTTTCTTTCTTTTCTTTGATTTATACCTTGCCCTCCCCACCAGGGCATGCTCAGGGCGGCTTATATAAAATTCAACAAATAAAGCAACAATTATACATCTAACCATAAAAACAAGACTTAAGGTGCTAGTTATCAGCTTATACGGTGATGGTGAGGTAGTAATAGCAGCAGACATACTAAAAAATACAATCAGCAGTTGTTACTACAATTTGGCAAAGAACAGGCTATCAATGGTGGCATTGGGCACAGGGTCTTAGTTGCTGGATGCTGCTCCTTAACTAAAGGCCTGGTGGAAGAGCTCTTTCTTTCTTTCTTTCTTTCTTTCTTTCTTTCTTTCTTTCTTTCTTTCTTTCTTTCTTTCTTTCTTTCTTTCTTTCTTTCTTTCTTTGATTTATACCCTGCCCTCCCCACCAGGGCACGCTCAAGGCGGCTTATATAAAATTCAACAAATAAAGCAACAATTATATATATAACCATAAAAACAAGACTTAAGGTGCTAGTTATCAGCTTATATGGTGATGGCAAGGTAGTAATAGCAGCAGACATACTAAAAAATACAGTCAGCAGTTGTTACTACAATTTGGCAAAGCACAGGCTATCAATGGTGGCATTGGGCACAGGGTCTTAGTTGCTGGATGCTGCTCCTTAACTAAAGGCCTGGTGGAAGAGCTCAGTCTTACAGGCCCTGTGGAACAGTAAGAGGTGATTGATGGAAATGGGTGTAGGGCTTTAGACAACCCCATGGTGGCACCTCCTTCCTCCCAAGAAGGGAGACTTCTGCTGTCTCCCTTTAAGCTGCAGAGGTGACCATTCTCAGTTGGCTTACTTCCCTGCATTTTTCTCTGTTCTTTGGACTGGCTCCTACATATCCTAATGTTGTCCTGCAAAGTGGGGATTTGGGCTTGAGAAAAGAGGATTATGCTTAAGATTGATCTGTTCCCCTTGGTCCTTTTGTCCCACCAATGGATGAAGACTTTTCTGTTTCATCTGGCATTCCTTTACTGACTCGCCATCTTTTTAAATTTTGATTTCTCATGTTGATATTAATTTTTATCTGTTATTATTTACATTATTTACATACAGTGAAAGTCAATTCAATCAATAGGTTTAGGTAAAGGTAAAGGTTCCCTTACTCGAAAGCCAGTCGAGTCTGACTCTAGGGTTGCGGTGCTCATCTCCGTTTCAAAGCCGAAGAGCCAACGCTGTCCGAAGACGTTTCCGTGGTCATGTGACTAAACACCAAGGCGCATGGAACGCTGTTACCTTCCCACCGAAGTGGTACCTATTTATCTACTTGCAATTTCTTGCTTTCGAACTGCTAGGTTGGCAGGAGCTGGAACGAGAGACGGGAGCTCACTCCGTCATGTGGCACACTCGGGTCTCGAACTGCTGAACTACTGACCTTCCACAGCCTGCAGTTCAGCGTCTTAACCACTTGAGCCACCGCAGCTCCTACAATAGGTTTAGGACTGCAGAAATCTGAAGCGTAAACATTAAATAGCACATGTTAAACAAGCAATCAATGGTATTGTGTAAGCAGAAATACAATCCGGTGAGAACAAGATAATGCAGGTAGCAACAGATAGCACATGACTTTTTTGCCATCAAGTCACAGCAGATTTATGGCAACCCCGGTGGGGTTTTCAAGGCAAGAGATGGACAGAGGTAGTTTGCCATTGCCTGCCTCTGTGAAGCAGCCCTGGGCTTCCTTGGTGGCTTCTAATTCCTTAAATACTTAGCAGGGCAGACCCTGCTTAGCATCTGAGATCCGTTCAGATCAGGCTAGCCTGGGCTATCCAGGTCAGGGAGCGCCTACCATACAAAATCCATAAACTGGAAGTCGATTTTTAATGTCTTTTTCATGGTTTGCCACCTTGAAGGCCCTAATTGTGCAGAAAGGCACGATACAAAAGTTTTAAATAAAAGTAAAACAAACCTTTACAAATTCTTCATATTGAGAAACACTTATAAACAAGCCTGAGCCAGAAAAGGATGGTGCTACACAGAAATATTTTGATAGCTGCAGAAAGTGCTCCTATTTCAACGTTTTGGGGGGATCACATTGAAAGAGAGTGAAAGAGTTCTACCCACACAAGTAAGAGCTACCAACGGTCGGAAGATCAGCACTTTCCGTGTGACAAGGGCACAAACATTACTCTCAATTGGCTTTGTTTGACCTCAGTGATCATCACGTGGTTAAATCTTACCAGTTCCGTGACAGCGCCATGCTATCATGTTCACTATAGGATCCCTGATTGGTTGTGATCACTGCAGGAAGTAAAAGTAGCCCTCACCACACACACAAGAATGGGATGGGAAAGACAAAAAACAACGGCAATTGGGCTTGAAAGATGTGTCCACTAAGAGAATTTCCAGGATGGTTTCTGGCTTACAACAGAAGAAATGGGTGATCGTTTGATATAGCCCTTCATTCAAAATGTTTCTATAATGAAATGGGGAGCTACAAAGTCCTTGTGTGACATTAAGTCCCCAACATGATCCCTCAGTTGCTAATTAAAACAGCAAGAGGGTACAGTCATGGAGCTGAAACACATTAGCAGAGATCTTGAAAATTAGCTAGAACTTGAAACAGCCAATTCCTCCTGCGTGTCCTTGTAAACGACTGATTGGAAGCTTTTTCACAAGGAATCATCACAGGGAGAGACGGTTGTCGCTTGTCTTGCTGGCATGCACAGTTCGGGTTCGTAAATTAGTCTGAAGGCCAACAAATGGTTATGAGCTTCAAAACAGGACTCCAAAGTGATCCCTTAAATAGGGATGCCTAAACACAGAACCATTGCTCCTGGAGCCAAGTATCAAAAAGAGGAATTGCAGAATGAGAATGCGTGGCTGCCAGTTGCCAAAAAGAAGAGGTTAGGGAGTGTTTGAAAGGAAGAGGTAAAAACCAAATCCCGCCCAGTGCTGAAGAGAGCTTTCTGGAGCCTTATTAAAGCGAGCATGCCAGAGAGGAAACATAACATGCAGTAAATCAAAGGAGTTGATAACAGAGGGTTGCTATATAGTTCCTGGTCAGTAGAAAAGCTTATTAATGTTCCTTGGAGAGAATATCGTTCCCCTTAAGGCAACATAGCAAGGCTCAGAGAGAATGTGGGTATTACAAAGGCCTGTGAATGATGGACAAAGCAATTGACAATGAGTTTTGTGTGTGAGAGTTTTAACTGCTTGAAGACCATGTGCTTAATAAAGCTGGAAAGCTCGGCTCAATCAGCATGGATAGAACAGCTTAAAATGAGCCCTCCCCACTGGCACACTAATAGAGGGGGGGGAACATACTACTCGGGAGCCACTGATCCCAAGGGAACTGTGCGTTGCAGGGGGAGGGGAGTGCCAATGAAGAGAATAAGCTTGCCAAGAGGAATGCAGAGCAGGTGTTCAGCTGGGGGCTCCCTACTGAGGGCAGGTAGCTGTTGCAGCTGTAAGAATACGTGGGTGCAGTGAGCCAGCGAGATCTGTGGCCGGTAAGATCAGTGGTCCAGAGAGCCAATGAGATGTCCCTGGGTCAGTGAGATCAGCAGAGAGATCCAGAGCCGGTGGGACAATGGGTGAAGACAGGGGCATAAGGAGTATTATTTCCTATGGCTTCGTTAATGTCAGAATGGGAGGGGAAAAGCACATCTAAGGCTCAGTGCAGACCTTCCTGTAGCAGAATGGAAGCTACCTCTGCTCAGCTTTTCCCCATGGTGGGCAACATTCACATGGAGATCTACTGCATTTTCAACCCCATCTCAGGGACGGGGCTCAGTGGCAGAGCACCTGCTTGGTATGCAGGTGGTCCCGGGTTCAATCCCCGGCGTTTCCAGTCAAAAGGATTTGGTAGTAGGTGATGTGAAAGACCTCCACCTGAGACCCTGGAAGTCTGAATAGACGGTACTGACTTTGATGGTCCAATGTAATTCGTCCGTAATTCGTTTTCTCATCCTCCATTCGACTCTCAAAAAGCCTCCGCAAGGCGGGTCTTGTTGGAAGGCTGTGACTGGCCCAGGGCTATCCAGTCATCTCCATGGCTGAGCAGGGATATAAACCCGAGTCTCCCCAGTTATAATCTGACACTTTAGCAGATATTGTTTCAGAAGGTAGCTAGCTATTTTGACCTCCAGTTGAAGAGCGAGACTTGAGTCCAGGAGCACCTTAAAGACCAACAACGTTTGGGAGGGTATAAGCTTTCAAGAGTCTGATTTTTACTCTTGAAACCTTAAACCCTGAAAATCTTGTTGGGTTCTAACATGCTACTTGATTTGAATCTAGCTCTTTAACAAATATACTATACTGAATATCAGGGGTCATTTCGTAGAAAAAGAGCTAGGGGAACTGTTGGATCCCCAAGCATCGAGAATAAATCCACGTTTTCAAGAAAAGCAAAATTTATTTCAAAGCGTTGGAAAGACACTCAAACACGTTCTTTTTTAGAACTGGGGATACACAGGTAGGGCAAGCATAATAAAGGAAATTCAAACAGACACAGATCCAATGAATAACATTCCCGCTGGCGGGCTAAAGAAACGGTTGCGCGCCCAGTCCATGAGAACCAGGCAGAACATCAGACAAAACACAGGTGCAGTTCCCAAGCGATAAGCAGTGGCAAGCATTACAGCATCCTCTCCTCCACAAACCCTCCAGTAGATTATCTTAGGCATTCCAGCATAGAAGCAGAATAACAAGCCGGGTGCAACAGGGGAAGGATATGTACCCAGAGGTCATAGAAACATAATGGCAGCTTGCTGACAGGAACTCATTAGCATAACTCATTAGCATATGCCACACCCCCTGACATCAGGGGCCCGGCGGTGGACCTGCAAGGCCAGCGGGAGTGTTAGGAAGCCCCGCCAAGGCCCTCCCTGGCCCCAGGCAGGCAGGGGTGGGGAGAGGCGAGGAGGAAGCACATTACCCTCCCTCTTATCCTGCCTCCTCCTGGCTGAATGAGGGCTGGAAGCAGGGCGGCCGGAAGCAGGGGGCGGGGATTCATCATGTGCCCCGCCCCCCTGCACCTCACCTGGGGGAACTGCGTTCCCCCGCGTTCCCCCCCGAAATGACCTCTGCTGAATATTACACACACGCACATCCTCCTGGTTTTCTCCCTGAAGGGACCCAGCAGGGTGGCTTACAGAAGAACACAATATAGAGCCAAACTAATGAGCAAAGCAAATCTTTTTAGAACAACAACATTCTGTTCTTGGGCTGGTCCTAGATTCAGTGGGTGGTTTATTTGAAGGTGCAGGCAGTGAGTCACAGGCAAAGAACCAGAGGGCCAAGATCCCTTTGGCTTTCGCCCTTGGCCACTCCCAGTCCTTGTACCTGCAGGCAGGAAGAAGATTTTTAAAAAACAGCTGAGATGGCATGAAGATGGCAAGCTGTTCCCTAACAGTAGTGCCCCTCTATTCCTCCAGAAGCCTATGAGGAAAGGCTGAAGATTCTGGGACTTTTCAGTTTAGAGAAGAGACGACTAAGAGGGGAACATGATAGAGGTTTATAAAATTATGCATGGGGTGCAAAGAATTGACAAAGAGAACTTTTTCTCCCTCTCCCAGAATACTAGAACTCGACGGCATCCAGTGAAGCTGATGGGTTCAGGCTGAACAAAAGGAATCACTAATTTACACAGAGCATGCTTTAAATGTGGGATTTGCTACCACAGGATGGCCACAAGCAGGGGTCGTTTCGTAGAAAAAGAGCTAGGGGAACTCATTAGCATAACATTAGCATATGCCACACCCCCTGACATCACCGGAAGTGTGTCATAAGGCCACACCCCCTGACATCACCAGAAGTGTGTCATAAGGCCACACACCCCACCCCCAACGGTCCCGGCCGCCGCCGCCGGCCTTGCAGCTCCACTGCCAAGCCCCATGAGGGGCCCGGCGGTGGACCTGCAAGGCCGGCGGGAGTGCAAGGAAGCCCCACGAAGGCCCTCCCTGGCCCCAGGCAGGCAGGGGTGGAGAGAGGCAGGGAGGAAGCAACTTACCCTCCCTCTTCTCCTGCCTCCTCCTGGCTGAATGAGGGCTGGCTGGCCACAAGCATAGACAGCTTTAAAGGGGAATTAGACAGCTCCATGGAGGACAGGTCTATCAGTGGTGACTAGCAATGGTGACTAATGGGAATGCAGCCCCTTCATCCTGATCTTATGGGAAGGGCATGGGAAAAGGCCACATAGGATTATAGAATCATATAATTGGAAGGGACCTCCAGGGTCATCTAGTCCAACCCCATGAACAGTGCAGGAAATTCACAAATACCTCCCCCTCCACACCCCCAGTGACCGCTGTTTTATGCCCAGAAGATGACAAAAACCCTCCAGGATCTCCAGCTAAATTGACCTGGAGAAAAATGGTTTCCTGACCCCAAAGTGTCGCTCAGCATTTCCCTGGCAGTGTAAGAAAGGGCCACAAGAACTACGCACTGATGCAACCCTTCCTGCCCTCCCTTCTCGTGATCTGCCTAAATTCACAGAATCAGCATTGCTGTCAGATGGCCATCTAGCCTCTGTTTGAAAACGTCCAAAGAAGGAGCGCCCACCACCTACCAAGGAAGCCTGTTCCACTGAGGAACCGCTTTGTCCGGAAGTTCTTCCTAATGTTTAGCCGAAAACTCTTCTGATCTAATTTAAACCCATTGGTTCTTGTCTGACCTTCTGGGGCAACAGAAAACCACTCCGTTCCATCCTCTAGATGACGGTCCTTCAAGTACTTGAAGATGGTTATTATATCACCTCTCAGTCGTCTCCTTCCATGCTAAACATACCCAGCTTCTTCAACCTTTCCTCATAGGACTTGGTCTCCAGACCTCTCATAGGAGAAGTGTCTCCTAGGCCATTGTGATGCTCTATAATCCAATATTAACATTACTGGAACAGTGTGGAATGGGGCCACAGACTCATCCACTATCATACTGCTCCCATAAGATTTGACCAGTTCCTAAGGCTAGGCTTGAATCTATGCCATGAATTCTGGCTCTTTTTGATTTACTTTTCCTTGTTACTGGAAGCATTCCCCCCCCCCCCCCCCCCCGAGGTTGGATCGAGACCCATGTTTTTGCGAGCCCCGTCTAAAAGCACCGCCGATTCCGGATGCTAATTGCATTTCAGATTGTGTATACATCACTAATGCTCTATATCTTCATTTTCTAGCCCGTGTAGTAATTGAGCGTTCAGTCAGTGTTCTGCCCGCTTTTCTGTCAACACTTATTAAAATGAAGCAATTAACTATTGTCTTAAATGGAGTTTAGAGGTAAGGCTCATTAGTTTTGGGCTCATTACAATTAGCTGGGATGATAAATGTAAAATTGCTTTATTGCAGCCCCTGTGCAGGAAAAAAGTTGTGACGCTTGATTATCGTGTGCAAATGTTCACTCGGTGCAGGATGCTTAAAATAATGTTTCTACTGGGCCTCCTTACTTTATGGCAAAATCCAGGATCCATAAAATGGATGCTATTAAAAACTGTAAATCTCAGGTTGTCTTTACAAAGCGCTGCTGAAGTGCGCTTGGAAACTATGCTTCCATGCAGGATGTCAACCATCGAATGAAGCCTGGCTGAGTCTTCTGAGATTTTCACACCTATTATTATATATGGTTTATATCTAAACCTGCTGCTGAGGGGTCTCTAAGAGGACTCCCCTGAATGCAAAACAAAAACAAGGAAATCCCAAAATGGCCTTATGAGGACCGAACAGGTACCCAGGAGGCTCAGAACGTTGAGAACAGCTGAGAGATGGTTAAAGAGGCACATTTTGCCTGGTCAACCCCCTGAGAGCATCGAGGATCCTGCAGGAAGTAATTTCCGGTTTCCAAATTTTCCAGCCCTCAGTTGATTCACTTTATTCTTCATCTTGGATTCTTTACGTTTGCCTTTTGGTCCATCTTAGCTATGCAAATTGACAATGTTTGGGGGAGGGAAGGTTTGCCAGTTGTAGTGTGGTAACCTTTACCGTGACAGCTATCTTTTAATGGATTGCCTTTTTGGTCCATCTTGTGCAGGGTCCGACTTACCTGAGGGACCGCCTTTCCCCACATATACCTCCAAGAGCCCTTTGGTCGGGGACCGAACACCGCCTGGTGATTCCAGGCCCCCGGGAGGCAAAGCTTGCTGCGACCAGGGCCAGATCCTTCTCAGTGGCGGCCCCTACCTGGTGGAACGAGCTCCCGGAGGAGATCAGGGCCCTGCAGGACTTTATGCAGTTCCGCAGAGCCTGCAAGACAGAGCTCTTCCACCAAGCTTTCACATAGGGGCCGCCGCTGCCACCACCACCAATGGTGGCGATAACATCGGGATTAGGAACCACCCTTGGAAGTTCCGCCATGAATTGAATGGCACTGACATCGTGGGATTGGCTTGGACTATCTACTAGACAGTATCACCCCAAGGGAAAGATCTAAGGAAATGACTGATGCCATCAAAACCACTCAGACCATCTTGTTTACAGAGAGCACTTTATTATTGTTATTGTTATTATTCATGATTTTATTGTTTTATCTAGTTTTATGTATGGGCTTATGCCCCTTGTAAGCCGCCCTGAGCCCGCTCGCGGGGAAAGCAGGGTAAAAATGCCAAAATAAATAAATAAATAAAATAAAAATAAATAATTAGTTCTTGTGTGTAGTGTAATATCTTGATGAAATGACTCCTTGAACTTTTAATAACCCTACACTGTATTATGTCAAAGAGTCTGCCAAGGTTAAGGATCCCAGGGTTTGTTTTCCAAAGAGATCAGGAGACTTCCATAGACAACTATCCATTTTAGTAATCCAAATCTGCCATCCACATGCTTGTAAAAAACCCTGCAGATATAACCCGTCTGGAGCGCAGTC